TGTACTGGACAGAACACTGAACTCTCAACTGTTTTCCTTAATTGATCTCCAAGGGTGACCCTTTCCCCTCTGAACATTACTACCTCTTATTAAACCTGTTGCTCTTCTCCACTCTTGTGTTTCCTTAGCCATTCTCCCCCTAAACATAACATTTTTGTTCCTGTGAAGGTCACAATGAAAAAAAGAGCCAAACTGGGCTCAAGACAGTGGCAGAGATGTGCTTTAAACAAATAAGGTAATAAGTTGCCAACAAGGTCATGGTAAACCTTGGCTGTTCATGGACAGTTATGGTTAGACAGAGCTAGAATGATCCAGAAACCTGAAGGGCATATGTGAATGGCAGAGTGCTGAAACCAGCACCTCGCATTCTAAACCCACTCAAGAACAGGGTCAGTGATTTAGCAAAACCATCTGGTTTCACACAGGCGTTTTGTTAGCATCAGCACCACAGACAGGTGCAATAAGCCCCTTTGTAAAGGAAATGGAAGCACATTGGCTTAAAAAAAAACCTTTTTGTTGAAATGTCATATATGTACAGAAAAGTGGGGACTTCCCTGGCGGTCCAGTGGTTAAAAACATGGCCTTCCAACGCAGGTGGTGCGGGTTCAATCCCTGGTCAGGGAGCTGAGATCCCACATGTCTTGTAGCCAAAACATGAAACAGAAGCAGTATTGTAACAAATTCAGCTTTCGGCTCGGAGGAGGCGAAGGTGCAACTTTCTTGGTCGTCCCGAATCCGGGTTCATCCGACACCAGCCACCTCCACCATGCCGCCTAAGTTCGACTCCAATGAGATCAAAGTCCTATACCTGAGGTGCACCAGTCGGGAAGTTGGTGCCACGTCTGCACTGGCCCCCAAGATCGGCCCCTTGGGCCTGTCTCCAAAAAAGGTCGGTGATGACATCGCCAAGGCAACTGGTGATTGGAAGGGTCTGAGGATTACAGTGAAACTGACCATTCAGAACAGACAAGCCCAGATTGAGGTGGTACCTTCTGCTCCTGCCCTGATCCTCAAAGCCCTCAAGGAACCACCAAGGGACAGAAAGAAGCAGAAAAACATTAAGCACAGTGGAAACATCACTTTTGATGAGATCGTCAACATTGCCCCGCAGATGCGGCATCGGTCTCTAGCTAGAGAACTTTCTGGAACCATTAAAGAGATCCTGGGGACCGCCCACTCTGTGGGCTGCAATGTTGATGGCTGCCACCTTCATGACATCATAGATGATATCAACAGTGGTGCAGTGGAGTGCCCAGCTAGTTAAGAACTGCAAAGGAAAAAGAAAAATAAAGAATCATTTGACAACCAGTGGGGGGGGGGCGGGGCGGAACAAATTCAGTAAAGACTTTAAAAATAGTCCACATTAAAAAAAATCTTAAATAAAAAGTGCACAAATGTTTAGTGCGAGCTCACTGAGCAAACTGAGCTCACCCATGCAGCCAACACCTAGATCAGAAACAGAAAATGACCAGTGACCCCCAAAAGTTCCTCTTCTGATCCTTCCCAGTCACTGTTCAACCCTTTCTCCCTGTGTAGCACTTTCTCTAGCATGTTACATATTTTAGTTATCTTATTTGTAATCTATCTCCCCCACTGGAATATAAGCTTCATGAGGGCAGACATTTGTGTTCTGTTTTGTTAAATGCTATTTCCCCAGCTCCTTGACCTGTATCTAGCACATTGTTATCACTCAGTCAATATTTGTGAAATGAATGGATGAAACTCTGCAATAAGAAATGCTAAAAAATGTGGCCGAGTGGTTGAGGTGGTGGACTAGAAATGCTTAAAAATGAGTCTAACCTTCAACAGATGAATGGGCAAAGAAAATGTGGTCTAACCATACAATGAAATTATTCAGCCATAAAAAGGAATGAAGGATACCTGCTACAATATGGCTAAACCTTGGAAACAAGGATGCTAAATGAAAGAAGCTAAACACAAAGAACCACATACTGTATGATTCCATTTATATGCAATGTCCAAAACAGGCAAGTCTATAGAGACAGGAAGTAGATTAGTGGTTGCCTAGGGCTGGAGGAGGGGGAAATTGGAATGGCTGTTTAGTGGGTAAGTGTTTTCTCTGGAGGTATGAAAATGTTTTGGAACTAAATAAAGGTGATGGCTGCATAACACTGTGAATGTACTCAGTGCTACTGAATTGTATACTTAAAGATGGTTTATTTTTTCTTTCTTTTAAAAAAATATTTATTTATTTGTTCCAAGTCTTTGTGCCTTAGTGGCACACAGGATCTTCAATCTTCATTGCAGCATGTGGGATCTTTAGTTGTGGCACGTGGGATCTAGTTCCCTCACTAGGGATTGAACTTGGGCCCCTTGTATTGAGAGTGCAGAGTCTTAGCCACTGGACCACCAGGGAAGTCCCTCATTTTCTTTTATGTGAATTTCACCTCAATAAAGCAAATATTAAAAAATCCTCAGAGGGACTAAATTTGCTGAACACATTTTCTTCACCACCAGAAAAAGTGGATGCTGGTGACTGTAGGATTCTTTATTTGAGAAAGGTGATGGGTATGTAGGGAAAAATTTGGAGGAAGTGGCCTAGGCTACAGTACTCTGTGTAGGGAGGGGAAGGAGGATTTCTAGCCATGGGAGTTGGAAGATGGGAGCCAGCAAAGTTGAGTGAAGGTAGATGAGGATGGAGAAAAAGATACGGAGATGACAATGCTGAGAAAAGAAACTTGGGATGAACCACTTTAAAGGGTTTCTCGAGAGAAATGAAGCCCTTTGTGGTGTTAGGGATCGTTTCTGAATACAAAGCATGCGTGGGTGTTCAGTCGCTTCAGTTGTGTCCAACTCTTTGCGACCCCATGGACTGTAGCCCTCCAGACTCCTCTGTCCATGGGATTCTCCAGGCAAGAATACTGGAGTAGATTGCCATGCCCTTCTTCAAGGGGTTTTCCTGACCCGGGGATCAAACCCTGACTCTTAACATCTCCTGTACTGGCAGGTGGATTCTTTACCACTGAGCCACCAAGGAAGCCCTCTGAATACAATAGGTAACATTAATGAATACAGCACTATGGAGACTGGTTCGAAGACTTTTTTTAACTTCTTTTTTTCATTGAACAGTAGTTGATTTGCAATAGTGTGTTAGTTTCACATGTACAGCAAAGTGAGTCAGTTATATATATATATATATATTCTTTTTCAGGTTTTTGTTCATTATAGGTTATTACAAGATACTGAATATTATTCCCTGTGTTATACAGTAAATCTTTGTTGTCTATTGTATACATGGTGTTTTTTTTTTTTTTTAAAAACTGAAGTATAATTAATTTACAATGCTGTATTAATTGGTTGGAAATCTCTTAAAAGAAAGACTTCTGAATCTAGGGAGACAAGGCTTTATAGTGGTTTGACTGGTGGTCCCCAAAAGATATGTTCATTTTCTAATCCCTGGAATCTGTGAATGTGGCCTTATTTGGCAAAAGGTCTTTGCACATGAAATTAAGAATCTTAAGATGCAGAGATCTCCCTGGATTTTCTGGTGGGGGGGAGTTACATTCCAATAACAGGTGTCCCTAGAAAAGAAAGGCAGAGGGAGATTTGAGACAGACAGAAGAAAAGAAGACAGAGTTGAAGGTGTAATAGTGGAGGGAGAGATTGGAATGACGTGGCCACAAGCCAAGGAAGGCCAGCAACCACCAGAGACTTGGAAGTGTTTGGCCCTGCCTGTGGACACCTTGATTTTGACCTTCTGGCCTCCAGGCTGTGAGAGCATAAATTTCTGTTGTTTGAAGCCACCAAGTTTGTGGTAATATGTTACAGAAGCCCCAGGAAACTAATTCAGGTCTCCAGTGATAAACCCAACAAGTTGGAGAAAAAGCCACACACAAGGTCGAGAGTTTGGGTCCTTGGGAGTCCCAGGAGTGGAGGAGATCCCCAAATCCCCTTTGTGTCTGTGAGGATGAGCTGATGGTCATCTGGCTTGTATATTGGCCCCTGTATGCACTCATGTGGCCGACAGCAAATGAGGCATTCACAGGCTGACTGGCTCACAGCATTTCGTATTTTTTGGCCTGTCAGCATTAACACTGCAAGAATACAGGTAGGTGCTTGTCACAAGTAAGAGTGTGAAGACTTTAAAACAACACTCAAAGAGAAAGCAATCTATATTTGCTTCGTGGAAATAAAATTTTACTGCTCTGTGAGCTCGGTTTATTAATTCGGAGTAGGGAAAGGAAATTGGCAAAGTCTGTCACCTTTTATTTGATCAAGTGACCAGCCACCTGAAGCGGGCATGTTTTAAAGACACTGGGTGATAAATGTTCACTGTGTGAAGATGGAAGGAGGGAGGGAGAGAGTTTGATTTTGAAAGAACAATGCAGCCAAGTGTTTATTCATCATACATGCAGTGTTCCTAAGAGAAGGACGTTGAATTTCAAAATTCTTATTGAAAAATTTTAAAACTTCCTTTCTCTGATTGTTGCAGAGAGGGAGGTAGAATTGAGAGGAGAAAGGAGAGGCTCTTTGACATACTTACCTATTTAACATTTAAAGCCTTGACTATACGCCTTAGCAGTACCAGGAGGCTGTAGGGTTTTACAATGTTTAAAATCCTTGGACATTGTCTTTGCTTTTATTCACATGTAATTTCATACTTTATGTTTAAAGACCTGGGTTTCCTAGGTAAGAATCATTCCCTTCTCTCTCTCTTTTTTTTTTTTTGAACGGCTATTGTTTATTAAGGCTTGTATTCTTCTAGAGAAAGTTATCCGATGTCGTCCGAGACTCTGCACAGGCGGTAACGGTTCAAAGAAAGTGACACGTTCTAAATACAAGTCTAAATAAAACTGTTTGCACTGTGACTCGGAGGGCCTGTCGAGCACAGTTTTCAGAAGCACCTGCACTCTGCCTGGGAGGCCCTCTGCTCGAATCGTGTGCGGTGAGCGTGAGGCAGGCATGCACACCACGTTCATGCTCTAACTCCCATGGCGAGTTCTTCAGTGGCCCCTCATTCCACAAAACATGACAGCAAATTAAGTTTCTAAAAGATTTTTTTTGTTTTACCCATTCAACAGGATAAAAGAAACTACAGACCCCACACACTGAACTTTACAACCAGGAGCATCATCCATCACACTGCTCTGGACTACCAGATCTCACGTTTAAAGCTCAGTATTATTGATATAAAAACGTGAAACAGCTCGAGGACTCTCCAGTGAAAAAAAGGGGGAAGTAAAATGGTCTGCACACAGAAGGAACCCCTCCGCACCTGGCCTGTGGTCACCTCCGACCAGGAACGCAGCAGACCCCAGGTGCACACGGAGGGAAGAGGCAGGTGCTCCAAGGAGAGAGCAGGTTCACCAAACTTTTCGAAAAACTGAAATTTATCCTCTGCCTAGTAGATTATCAAGTGGGCAGATGAGCATCTCAGACAGATAACAAAAGAAATGGCAAAGCAGCCAAACAAGGTGGTCATCAGCCTGGGGACTTCAGCATCCTGAAGGGAAGCAAAATTAAAACACAACACACAAAACGGCAGACAACTCATGGTGTCTTATGTTCAGTATTAAAGCAAAAGGGGTGAGAGACAAAAGGTCTCACATAAAAATGTTAAATGACTGTGAATATAAGAATAGGAACATGACGTTCCCCCAAAATAATAAATCTTTGGGATGAATTAGGTTTTTGTTTTTAAGGATACTTACATTTCGTGTTAGGTCAGTGTGATTGATAAGCTGACAAAAACATAGTCCTTTATTAGTGAGTTCTACAATACTATATGATACATAGAAAAAATACAAATGAATGCAGATTCATCTGGGCAAAAATAAACTACAAAGGACATAAAGATGTGAGCAGGCGAGCACTGCACGAAGCCAGCAGAGCCGCCGCCAGGATACAGCACCAGGCACACGCCCTCAGCCGCGCAGCCCCACGTCAGAGGCACGAGAGCCTGCTGCACCCTCACTGCTTGCTTCGACTCTGCCGTTCCTGCAAGGAAATGAGAGAGTGTAATACACGGACCATCGCGCACACAGACAACCTGCCTCCAAGTCCAGCTGATGTGGCCAGATCTGGACCCTGCTCCCCGCTTGGCCACCACCCACGGCAGCTCCAAGCTACAGGGTCCTGGCCACATGGGCCAGGCACCTCATAACCACTGACATGTGGTGACACCTGGGCAGGGAAGGCTCCTCTGGTGAGTTTGCTTCCTACTGCCCACAGGACCACCTTTCCCAGGGCGGGTGTGTGAGCAGCCTGTGAGCACAGTTCCAGCCCTCCACGTCCCCACATCTGCCCACCTGCTGAAAGCCATCTCAGCCCCTCCTTACGATGTGCCACTTGACTCGACTGCAAATGCGCCAACGTTCCCCGCCCGCGCCGCCCCCCCTCCTCCACTGCCCCTCTTGATAGGTGAAGCTGGGAAGGACCCTGCTGGGCAGAGGCTGGTCGATGACACAACACCCAAACAATCAAGAGTCACTACACGTGTATAGTATAATGCAGTAAAAACGCTCTCTTTTGCTAAAACTGACCTCAGGTACCTTCAGGTTAACAAGACCCCAATTCCCTGGTCCTCCATGTCATCACCCAGGGCTAGTCAACCTCAGGAGCACCTGCTGTACTTTTCTTACTATCCTCTTGTCCCGAAAAAGCCCCAAAATATGTGGGTGAGCAGGCAGGCTGTTGGACAGCTATGACTCCAGGAATTAACTGTGCCTCCCGACCCTGAACTCTGACTGGGAAACGCTAGGAGTTGTGTGTCCTGCATCCTTCTAGAAAGAACCCAGATCCTGCCCCTCGTGGACAGCAAGGCCGGACTCTCTTCCGAGTTCAAAGTGGCCGCGGCTGAAGTGATGCTGACAAGGGCAGGCTTCTCCCACAGCCCCGACTCCCTCTAACCATGACAACGACCACCACCTTGAGATTGGAACAGCCCCTTCTCAGACCAAGCCCAACAGAGGCCGACTGTCTGCCTCCCCAGCAGAGGCTCAATCCTGACCCTCCATCTCTGCCCAGTTTTCCATGCAGTCACTATGTCTGCAGAGCTGACTGCGGGCAGCGGCCAGTCTGGTCGTATGAGGAACTCTCCAACGTGATTCTGTCACTTAAAACCTGCACTATTTTAAGCACCCTAGGGAGTGGCCATCTCTAGATTTAAAGCCCAGAGGCTTGCAGGCCTGGGTCTGACCCAGCTGCCACAAGACCAGGTGCTTCCCAACAGAGCCAGCCCGCTTTCAGATGGACAGCTGAGGTGCAGGACAGTGGCACACCTGCAAAACGGCAAGCACATCTAACCTTGCAATGCAACACGTCGCTAAGTGTCACAATCATGTCAAACACCAGCTGATAAACAAAAAGACTACCTGAGCATCTCCAGGGTGGGCTTCCTGGTGATGGTGGCCCCACCAGCAAGCTCAGAGGTTACAAGGGAGCTGCTTCAACCCTCATCTCAGTCACATCTTTTTTAAGGACACACCCAATTCCTGCCAGGAAATCAGCACCAGTTGCCAACTCCAGAAGAAACCACAGGGACAAGTGTCCTGGTAGACATTTGTGGGGCCAAAACAAGACCCACCCACGTTCTTCTACAGCCCACAGAGCCGAGAGAGACCTGAGATCTCTCCAGGACAGCAACAGGTTGGAGTTCCAAGACGTGAATTAACCTAGCACTGACCCCTGTGGACAAATGCAGCTGGCTCATGGTGCCTGCTTCTGCAGTACCCCTGCCCCAGGGGGAGGGACAGCCCAGGTAAGCCTCCCAGCAAAGCCAGAGGACAGCCCTGCTAAGGAGACTCCCAGAGGAACAGCTGCAAGCCATGGGCCCCGAGGGTCTGGGCTTGGGTGGCTCCTCCATCTACCTGTTCCCGACATGCAAGCGCATCACCACAAGGCAAATTCCAGGACAGGGGTACCTCACACACTCACCAGGGCAGGGCAGAAGTCTACCCCTCAGCTCATTACAACCATCAGAACCAAGGGCCACAGCGCATGAGACACACATGTAGAGCCAGCATCTGGTCACCAGGGGCCTCAAGTCTCGTGAGCAAGACCTACATCCTATCCAGGCAAATTCAGCATCTCTGCGTTTCATTTCATCCCCATTTCACACTAACTGAAAATATAACAAGATATCTCTTTTCTGCCCCAAAGAGACAGTGGGACCAACCTGTTTCCAAAGCTTTGTAGGTGGTCAGTCTGTGTAACTTCCCAACTGCTACCAGCACTGTGCTCTATGTCCCATTTACAAGCCTTTCTGTCAAAAAACACTCAGGACACTGAATTTCCAGATGGGCAAAGCTTTTTTTTTTGGAAAAAAAAAAAAGACAAGGAAGACTATAAAGGGTTGAAAATCCACCTATTATCAACTGACATTTCATGAAAGAAAAGACATTTTAATACCAAAGCTGCAGGAAGAATCTCAGGCTCAACTCTTAACAAAATGGCTCTACTAAGTGTGTCACAGTGTCCCTTTCCTCCCCGTTTCTGGGCCAGTCTCCTACCAAGCAGACTCACCCCGTGCACTGTCACAGGAGATGGGGACCCGCTCAGAGACTAGTTCAAGGGTCTTTTGTTGTGCTTCCAGACACACACACTCCAGTTATGAACTGTCTGCATCCCAATCTCCCCTGCCAGCTGCTTACCAGATGGAGCAGATTCAAGTTTCCAGAAACTGCAGCATACTGGGTTTTTAAGACAAAAGAAATAAGCAGCCACTTCTAGACTGGAGTGTCCCCACTGCTGAGGGCCACGCCCAGGTGGGCCTTGGTGGGGGCATCTGGCCCAGCAGCCTCGCCCATCCACCCTGGGGCCACAGAACTCTATTTCTAAATGTTCCGGGCTGGACAGAGACTGGGAAGCCCTGTTCTAACGAGTCACCCAAGTCCTCTACAACAGTCTGTGACCCAGTGTTTCTGAACAACTGGCTAGGACCCAGGTGCTGTGGTGACAGCTGCTCAACGTCTGTGTTGGGCCATGCTCACCTTGCGCACCACCTCCTCCTCCTCCTGGCGCCTCTCATAGTGGGAGAAGTCATCGAAGATGGAGGTGCTGTGCCTGTAGGAGGCGATGATCCGCAGCACCTGCCGCGCCTTCTCCAGGGGTACCTCTTGGGTGTCACGCGAGTTGGTGACCGGCTTGTTGTCGTTGTTTTCCAGTCGGATGTGCCGCAGCTGGCTGTTGGGCACGTCCTTCACGAAGATCCACTTCACGTCGAACTTGCCCTTCCACTTGTCCTGGGACCAGACCCCGGCGCTGGTGCCGTAGTCCACAGGCGACTTCATCTCAGCCACCCCGCAGAAATGGCCACTGCCATTGACGCTGAAGAGCAGGTAGACAGGCCCCTTGCTGCCCAGGGCACGGAAGGCACTGTCCAGGCGCCGGTTGCCATGCTCCGTGCTACACCAGAGCGAATACTTGATAGAGCGGTGCACGTCATCCTCCGAGTAACTCTTGATGATGAACACGCGCCCGCTCTTCAGGTTCCAGTCAAACTCCTTGGGGTTGTAACTGTGAGCGGCTTTCAGTTTTTCTAAGACGGGGTGGGACTCTGCGCTCAGGGTCGTGCTGGGCTGGGCGCTCCCAGGGGAGTTACTGTCACTGCTGGGGCCCCCGGTCTGCCCAAACGCCGCATTTCTGCTGCGAGGGGCAACCCAGCGGGTCTGGGGCAGCTGCTGGGGGGCCGTGTGTTGTGGTGGGGCTGGAAGGGGAGGTTGGGCGGGAAGAGGCTGCATGGCCGGCTGGGGCTGGGGGGCCACCGAGGAGGCTGGCACCTGCTGGGGGGCCGGGGCTTTGGGCACAGACCCCTTGTTGTCCCAAGTACCAATGTCCATATTATGTTTAATAGGTGGCGGGGGCAGCGCCCCCCCGATGGCAGGCCCACTCTTGGCCTTCATTTTCGGTTGTGGTTTGGCAGGTTTGCTGGCAATGGCAGCCCATGAGGTCGGCTTTGATACCGGCAGGGGCACATTGGTCCCACCATTGCCGGAAAGGATGCCCGTCATGGCCACACTGCTGACGACTGACCCTACCGTCTTGACCGCAGAGGTGGTGACGTCCCCAATCTTCAGGCCCACCATGCCCTGCTCCAGGCTGTTCATTCCTGGTGCCTTGTTGAGAGTATCACTGTGAAAGCCTGTCTGTCCGTCCACAATTGTGCCACCCAAGGAGCTCGGCGGGTAGGTGTAGCTGTTTCCATACGCTGAACTCTGAGCCTGTTGACCCTGAGACCCACTCGTCCCCCAGGCTGAAAAGGCAGGATTTTCAGGGAAAAAATTGAACCTGTGCTGGTAGATGTTGCTCCCCAGTCCCCCAGGCTGCCCGAAAACGGCATCGTGCACGAAGTGGTGGTCTCCGTTACTGAGCTGTCCGTAGGTGGTGAGGTAGGGGATTGGAGGGTCCCCTCCTGTAGACCATGGTGCCTCGTTGAGGGAATAGGGGAATCCGATGGATGGTGGGTAATAGCTGGACAGGTAGGGGTCTGCCATGGAGGGGTAGCTGTTACTCTGCGGAAATAAGCATGGGAAAAGTTAGGCCGTGACATGGCAGAGACGCTACCGCGCCAAGCACATCCACTTCAGCGCAGGTGTGAGCAGCACTGACTCTGCACAATGGGAGCCCAGGCAGGACACAGAAGGTAAACATCCAGACGACCCACATGGCTACCCAAATGCTCAGTACCACTTGTTGTGATCGTGACTCAAGACAGGAAACGCCCCCCGCCCCGCCACTCTAAGAGTGACCACTCACAGGAAGCAGCCTGAGGGCAGGTCTCTGTCCTACAGCAGTAATGCTCGAGCGGGACACGGGCAGCACAGGCACAGGGTGACAAAGTGCTCGAGAGGCAGCAGGCATGTCTAACAGCAGCCCAGGATGCTTGCTGATGACTCACCTGATGGATACCTTTCCCACTCTCAACCCTCAGGACTCCTGCCCCTGTCAAGGGCCACCCCAGAGATCCCTCCACAGGCTTTTCTTGACATCTGCCTGGACCCCCAACCCTGAGCCCAAAGAGGTCTGGCCCCTCGTTTGCTGGGCAGGCTCTCAGAGGGGACCCAGCTATGGGGGATGGGCAAGTCTCCATAGCGTCTCCACATGCCAGGGCCCCCCTACTGGGAGAGCTAGGCGCCGAACCAGCCCTGCCCAACCCCTCCTGACATTGTCTGTCCCCACAGGACCATGGGGCACAAGCAGGCTGTGTGCAGTGACCTCTGGCACTGGGAACCACATCCATTTTCATTCCCATCTCACTGGCAGCCCAGTCCCACATCAGCCAGATCTCCCTCCAAACTCTTGAGAGTGAAGCAGCAGAGTAACAGGTGAAGCTGCCGGGATCAGCAGTCTGCATCCCCTCCTCACAAAGATGGGGCTCAAGGCCTTCCATATATGGTGCTTAGGCCGACTGTCCAGGCTCCAGGTCACAGGGCAACTGAGTTGTACTCACTCTGTGAGCTGGGCTGCAGGGCTGCCCACGGTTCAGGCTGCTTGTGATCACCCCAGCCCCTCGGAAGCCCGCCTGACCGCACCCTCGGGCTCTACAGACACGCTCCCCAGCTGGGCTCCTGAGACAGCAAACACGCTGTCTGCTTAGTCAGCCATGCAACCTGAGGTCAGGAGGCTCAAGCTTACCCGCCAGGGACATGGGTGCAGAGACCAAAGGGATAAAACAAACTGCCCACTTCCTCTGAGCACACTAACACCTCTGTATAACTATATCACGGGTCTAGTCAAAGGAGCAGTCCAGAACAAACTCAATCTTGAGGAGGACTCAGGTAAAACAACCCTGACGACTGCCTCTCACACAGGAGACGTCTAATTACAGCCTCTGTATAATTTAGGGCCTCAAAAAAGGAAGGCTGACAGGTCTTCAAGGCAGAATTAGTCCAGTGATGGTAGAAAAAACACCTCCATATGTTGGACTCTTGCGGCACCTCCTTGTGACCAATAAGTCACAGTGATAAACAAAATGGACACTCCAAACAGTATAAACTCAGAGTTGTTGACAGTCAGCCCCAGGCAACCTTTTTCCAAAACCCAAACAGTAAAACACAATAAACCCATAAATTAATTCTACAATTAAGAGTTATTTTATACTTAAAACTTAGCCACGTTAGGAAAAAGAGTCTCTCATTCTCAATGACCAGAATCACCCTTTTAAAAGTTGAAATGTTTGATCCCTATATCCATTTTGCTGAGAAGAAAGAAATTCTGAAATTACTCAAATGCTTTAAGTTTCACAAACAATACAGTGACTCAACCATTACAATGACCAAAAGAAGGGACTGGAGGGGAAACAGAAAGGAGCCTCCAGAAGCCCAAGACACACACAACACCTGCGAAGCATGCTGAGGAGCATTCACATGGGGACAAGCCAGCTCGACCTCGCAGGATGGCATGTGAGAGACGGCGGACATGAGGTCTTGAGGTGATGCCACGCTGATCCCACAGGTGGAGGAACACCCCCCAGCACTTGAGGGGCTCTGCCCACATCTCATCAGAGGACACGACCAATGGCAAAGCTTTCGAAAAGGCTCCCAAACGGGTTTAAACCGACTACCAGTGAATCAGCACTAGAACTTGAAACGAGTAAATTTACACAACATTCTTTTCTTAGGAGGTGAACGTTTCTCATTACACCCAGAACAACTGAATTATTCAAGAGGAAAAGTGAAAAAGGTGACTTTCCCCCTTTCTGTCAGCCATCAGACGCTGCTGAGTCTGCCAAAAACCAGATGCTCGAGTGAAGACGCTGAGCCCCAGGGCCCCCTCCGTCCACACACTTGGCCCTCAGTCAGCCTGTAGCACTCACACCAAACTCAGAGGCACTGTCTCCAAAACTCTGAGCAGGAATTTTCTGGGTCCTTTCAGTCTTTCCTTACCTTTCAGAGGTAGAAACAGAGAACTAGAAAGCAGGAACACCCTGAGGAGAGCAAAGTCAGGACAACCTGGTAGCCCCAGAAAGTGAAAGTCGCTCAGTCGTGTCTGACTCTTTGTGACCCCATGGACTATACAGTCCATGGCATTCTCCAGGACAGAATACTGGAGTGAGTAGCTGTTCCCTTCTCCAGGGGATCTGCCTAACCCAGGGATTGAACCCGGGTCTCCCGCATTGCAGGCAGATTCTTTACCAGCTTAGCCACCAGGGAAGCCCAAGTATACTGGAGCGGATAGCCTATCCCTTCTCCAGCGAATCTTCCTGAGACCCAGGAACTGAACCGGGGTCTCCTGCATTACAGGCAGACTCTTTACCAGTTGAGCTACCAGGGAATCCCTAGGGCCCCACCCAAAGCCTCTCACCCTCACCCCTGGGTCCCCTACCCCAGCCCCGCTGTCCTCCCCTGTGCTTTCTCTACCCTCATCATTTCCAAAGTACTGACTGACGAGTATTTCAAGTCACAAAAGAAGATCCAGAGCTGCTACATAAGGATGCTCTTTGAGGCCACTAGGAAGAAAAACACACCAGAAGCACGGACCCAGGGCCTATCCGAAGAAGGCAGATCTACCAGAGAGCAGTACAAGTCACCTAACTTAACTGACAGGTCTGCTTTTAAATGTTTTCCAAATAATTTGAAGCCTTAAGGTTTCCCAAACCAGAAAACCAGTGTCTCCAACTGGCTACTGCACAGTTCGATTAAAAAAAAATGTCTGGGTTAAAAAAAGACAGGTAAGCACCACAAGGCTGAAGAATATGCCCACAACCTCCACCTTAGCAACAGCTCTACAGGTGCACATGCATACCAGGGAAAGGTCACATAGAAAACTGCCTTCTTTAAACACATACAGCTCATCTCATGTCAACAACACCTCAGTAAAGGCTGAGCACACAGACGGGAAGTGGACACTCACTTCCCGGCCACACCAATCACCACTCAGGCCTCCTCACTAGCAGCCTGGAGGGATACAGCAGCAGAGCCCACATCTAGAGGAGGGACTCTTGATGGCATCACAGCCCTGGTGAAGACAGGAGTGGCACACACAGGACCCATGGACCCTGCTGCACACTTGGAGAGAAGTTCCGCCCCTCAGTCCACAGCCTGGCTCTGCCACTGGGCATAGCAGAGCCTCTCTGGCCCTCACGGTCTGTGTCCCTAATATGAAAAGGAGAGGAAAACCAGGATCTAAGAGCCCTCCTGAGTGGCAGGCTTCCTACACAATTGGGCATTTCTGGACAGTCTACTTTCAGTCAAGAGTTTTCTCAACAGAGTCCCTCTTAAGTGATGTGCTGTCTAGTCATCTTGCTGAAAACTGCACATCTTAACACGCAGAATGAAGGGGCTATTTTTTAAGTGTCCACTGACAGCACCAACCTACCCCAGTCTTTCCAAATGGCCTCCCCAGAGTAAGGCAGCTGGAGTACTCCACTGACATCAGAAAGTCACCTACTCAAAGATCCCTGGTGGTCCAGTGATGAAGAATCCACCGGCCAATGCAGGGAACATAGGTTCAATCCCTGCTCTGGGAAGATCCCACATGCCACAGAGCAAAGAAGTCCATGCACCACAACTATTGAGCCGGTGCTCTAGAGCCCATGAGCCACAACTACTGACCCCATGTGCAACAACTACTGAAGTCCACAGGCCCTAGAGCCCGTGCTCCATAATAAGAGAAACCACCACAATGAGAAGCTCACACACCACAACAAAGAGTAGCCCCTGCTCACTGCAACTAGAGAAAAGCCCACATGCAGCAATGAAGACGACCCAGAGCAGTCAAAAATAAATTTTAAAAGAAAAGAAAGTCATCTACTCTTTTTCAAAGCATCCTACCTTATGAAAATTTGTTTTAAGTGAAGCAACCTCCCCTTCCGATATTTTTGGTTAAAATTTAATACATAACACTGCTGGAGCAAATCATGCAAGAGAAATAAGTTTAAGTCTGCTCAACTTCCTGCCACACCTCAGGCTGAAAGGCCATCACCGAGCAGTCCCTTGTCCTGCCCAGAGGAGGGGTGGGTTCTTGGGGATGGGGTGGGGTGGGATGGGCTGTGTGTGGCCCTCAGCCTCTGTCCTGCCAAGTGGAGCAGGAAAGAGGAGAATGGAGAAAAGTCCTAAGACAATCCAGAGAAGAGCAGACAAGCAAGGAAACAGGCAGCCCAGCTTCATTCCACAGGAAAGAGGCAGAGCCTCATTTTATTCTAAAGCAAACATACACCATGCACTTTAGAAGTGGCAGATGTTTTGTTTAAACTTGAATTCAAACTAACCTAGTGGTTTTAGACAGGACAACGCAGCCCCCCCAGAAGACACCTGTGACATTTCTGGTTGTCACACGGGATGGCATGCAGATACTAATGACATTTCATGGATGCAGGCCCAGGAGGCTCCTAAACATCCTACAATGTGCAAGACGGCCCCCCAGACAGCACTTCAATCCACAATCCCCTTACTGCCAAGGCTAAGAAAATCTGCAACACCTAAGAGAACGGGTGGCTACAACCCATTAGGTACTGCCTTGAGCTCTAAGGGCACCCTGTCATCTCACCCTGCCCACAACGCTGTCAGGAGTCACCTCTTTAACTGTCTAGAGAAAAGTAAGCGAGCACAGAGGGGGCAAGCCATCAAGAAAGCGTCACAGTCAGCAGCGGCATGAAGAACCCAAAGATGGAGCCTCACTCCAGAGTCCTGCTCTAGCTGCTCCTAGATCAAAATTCCAATCGCTCAGAGCTAAGAAAAAAAAAGTCACTGGAAAGCTTCAGAGAACTAAGTGCTGCTCCACTTTGTAAAACGCAATGCCATCGTTGACCCAGCAATACTGAGACCAACCAACTAGAATGCTGCATGCCTGCCAGCCCCGGTGGGACGTCATCTCCTCCAGAAAGAAGACCAGCTTCACTGCATTCATGCCCCACCTTCGATGTGACGCTGCTCTTCAAAACAAGCCTTTGTCTGCTTCTTACTTTACCTCTAGTACTTTATGGTCTGCATCTCTGTTCTTCAGGATGATAAAGTTAGAAATACAGTAGTAAGTGTGTATTTGCTTTTTAAAGCTCAGTTGAACTAAATGCAAATATGTTATAAAAAGATAAACTCACCTGGTTTGACTGTCCGGAAAGGTAGGGCTCAAAGTCATTGTCGTGAACGGTATCCTTCTGATGCAAAGATCCATTTTGTACTGCAAGAGAATTTGCAGCATATTACCTCTGAATTCTTAAAACACTGCTTTTAATCATAGAAATTGGAAAAACTCAAGTTTACGTCCATCAACTTCTAGAAATTGCTTTTACTTTAAAAATGGACACAGACGTTCGGAATTGATACACAACTAATTAGAAAAATGATAACAAAACTTTCAGTAACTTAGGTTATGATTTTTATGAAAATTAACTGGAATTTGGTAGACACTAACAAAACAGATGGACAGGGAGGCCTGGTGTGCTGTGATTCATGGGGTCGCAAAGAGTTGGACAGGACTAACAACTGAACAAAACAAAGGTGCAGATGAGACAATGCCAGGAACTCATAATCCGGATTTGGTAAAGGTGATGCATTCAAAGGTCTTTGTATGCCCAGCAAGGAGTGGGGAGTGAGGCCAGGAAGCTGTAACTGGACGTCTCTGAACTATTATCTGGCTGCACTCTTACTTTCCACTGTCACCATACTCAGCCAGGAAAGGAGGGGAAGGTAAAGAAGTGCTGGGCCTTCTCCAATCTCCAAACGTGATAACCCTATTTGGTTACACCCGAGGCACACACACCCTGGTTCAAAATAGTCTATGGAGTAAACATGAAGCGTCACCAGTTTTCCCAGGAGTGAGTTCTGGGAGTGGACCCCAAGCCAGACTATCCCAAGAGATTACAAGACACTCAAAAGACAGAGGCTTGAACTACTGGGGTAAGGCGCCAGAATTACAGGGCCAAAGGCCAGCCCCACGCCTGGGGTCACGGACAGGAGGGTCGCTCAGCCCCTGGGCTCCTTCCCTCCCCGCCCCCCCACCCCCGACCCTGCGGAAAGAGGGAACGACGGAATTACTCTCCCCGTCGATTTACTTACTTCTTGAAAAGTCCCTGTTTTCGACCTGTTTCGTCTCCCCCAGTATCAAATTCCGAAGTTTTCTCTCCCTGAAGCTGAGAGAGGAAAACTCCGCGGTCCTGGCCGCCGCTTCGGAGACCTCTCTCCCCCCAATACACGTGCACCGGGTCTCGGAGAGCGCTGCCCCCTCCGCTCTCGGGCCCCTCTGCCCCGGTCCCCGGCTGCCATACCGACTTCGCTCACCTTTATTATCTTGTCCTTTTGTTCTCTGATTCGCCGCAGGCCGGACATGCGAACGGACAGCACCCGGAGAGAAGAAACACAACTTATCCACCAGAACCCCTCCCGGCGGGCGGCGCGCTCCGGCCCGAACCGGTCCGTGGCCCCAGGCGACGGCGCTCCGGCCCCGTGACCCCAGCCCGACCCCTTCTCCGGCCCCGCGAGCGGCCCCCTCGCGGGCCGCTCGTGGGCGGGCGCGAGGCGGCTAGCGGGACGGAACGTACTGTCTAGGCGCCGACTTCAATGGCGGTAGCGACGGCAGCGGCAGCGGCGGGGACCAGGCGGCACGACGTCACTAGCGCGGGGCAGGCCGGGAGGTCGACGTGCAGCCACGCGCCGCGCCTGCGCGCTGCCCCCCGGCGGGACGGATATCGCGCCCTGGTCCCAGTCTTGCGCGGCAGGATGGGGCGAGCCGCGGCAGTCAAGTGGGCATGTCCTGGAGCGCCGCGGGCCCCGCCCCGCAGGTGTGCTCCTGTCTGGCTTCGCTCCCGCAGCCACAAAGGTGGCAATGATGCTGCGGCTGCACGGCGCTTGCCGGCACAGGTTGGCACAGATTGTGAGCCCGGGGGCAACCCCCGCGCTTGTCCCTCAGGTGTGAAGAAGAGCAACCCGCGAGTGCGAGCATCCACCGAAAGCCACTTTCAGCGGGCTGCGGTCCGCTCTACCCCACAGCTCGCCCCAAACGACCCACCAACAACCCTCGGAGGTTAGCGGTCCTCCGGGTGGCTGCTCCTGGACTTCTGCAGGCTCTGTCCCCATGGCGCCCTGGGCTCGGGCCTCCTGAGATTGCCACCTAGCGAGCGCTCTCTTGGGTCTCCTTGGGCTCTCCAGCTTAGAACCAGTTTGCATTTAGATTCTTGACCTCGAATTTCACCACAGGGAAGAAAACAGTTCAGCGCTGCACTTTGCCCTAGTCCAGGACCTGCTCAGGGCATTAGAGTCTCTATTGGGGAATGGAGAAACCCTTCCTGCCCTCCTTCCTGAAGGGACATCACTTCCCACTCATCACTCACTCCCACCATATCCCACACCAGGCCCCCATCCTGGACGCCTAGCCGGCCTCCCAACCCCTGTGGCCCTGCTCCAACATGGCTTCCAAGTGGGTCTCTTCTTTTCCAGCTCTGGCATTTGTAACATCGTTCCAAGGCCGAGATCTGCTGAAGGTGAAAGGCCTGGAATGCTGGCTCTCCCACCTTCTGGTGGCCCCAAGTGTCCCTGGCTCTCTGCCTGTGTCTCACACGAGCTTCTCCCTGTGTTGTGTCTCTGAAACTTCCTCTTCCTATGAGGACACTGTCATTGGATTTGGGGCCACCCTAATCCAGTGTGACCTCATCTTAGCTTCATTGTATTTGCACATACCCTATTTTTAAAATAAGGCCATACTCACAGGTACCCAATGGACAGGAGTCTGGGAGTTCACTGTTCAGCCAGGACAGGGATCACAAATGATGTCAACTGAAACATTTGAGGTGCTCAACAGGGGCTGAGCCGTGGAAGGACTGGCCCCTGAAACTACAGGCCTCAGGTGGTGCAGCCACACCAGCCTGCTGGCCAGGGAAGAGGCAGGCAGGATCTGAGAGCCACCACTGGACCTACCCCAGACTGCCACCCAGCCAGCTGGGAAATCTGGCAGTGGTCCTCACTGATATTGTGGGGTGGAGTAGCGTGAGGATCTCCCAGAGCAGGGAGCAGAGGGTTCTCGGAGGCCCAATGTAGAGATTTTGTGGGCCCAGCATTGGGGCTGCGGCCCCCTAGACCAGCCCCGAGGGGAAGCTTTTCCTCTGGCAAACCAGCGGACACAGGAAGGATGGAGTCACGGAGTCTGGAGATGGGCTTCCTGTTCCTGGTCAGGCCGTGAACGGAGTGAGAGAAACTGTCCCAGCTCCTGGCACAGGGAGGGGATGTGGGGGCCTCAAGTGGTGGTGACCAGCTCAGGCTTTGGAGCAAACCGGGACCTCTGGGGAGAGGGTGGCCTGACCCAAGATCTGTGCTGGGACCATACTGGCTCTCCCCACTGCCCAGAACACTCTGCTCCCACCCTCCCCCACCTGACCCCTGGTCGCCCTTCAGCTTTGGGGAGGAGCCACATCCATGCAGGCACATGACTCAGGGGTTTCCTGCCAGGAGGTCCATCAGAGAGAGCCCATTGTATACTGGGCCCCCCAGGCCCCTACTCCCTGCCATACCCAGCTGGGATGGGATTGTCTAAATGTTTCTACAAATGATTTTAAAAGGTTTGATTTTCTATTTATTTCAAAGGCACATAAGTCCATGGTTAAAAACCTCACCTAGAACTTCCTCAGCAGTCCAGTGGTTAGGATTCAGTTCTTTCACTGCTGTAGCCCTTGGTTTCGATCCCTGATGGCGGGGAACTAAGATCCCCCAAGACACATGACACTGCCAAAAACAAACACACCTATCTGTGTACTCAGAGGAACAAGGTGGGAGGCAGGCCTTTCTAGCCTCGCTGACCCCGATGCACATGCACACCTGTGCAGGGACACCAAGAAGGAGGTGCCTGCAGGCAGGATCACCAGGTCAAAGGGCACGCATATTGGCCACCTGCAAGGTGTTAGAACTGGCAGGTCACCCCCAGAAGAGGCCTGTGGATTCACCAGCAGGTAGACCTTCCCCCAACTGGGAGAGGGGCCTTAAGGGTATAGGCCCTGAGTTCAGGTGACCCTCCTGGCTGCAGCAAACAGCCCCACTGGGGTTGGACAGAACTCACCCAACAGCTGGCCTCCTGGGGCCTGCAAACAAAGACACCTGTTCACCCGAGGGATGATGGAGGTGCCTGTGCTGGCATCGGCCACTCCCCGGTCCCCTTCTCACCTGAGCTTGGGGCCCATGGCCTCCTTCCAGAAACCTCCTCCTCTGTACGTTCTCTGGAGCTGCTGCATACCTCGTAAACCTGCTCTTCCTGCTCCTGGCTCCAGAGGAAACTTGACGGGTCTCCTGTGATTTACAGAACATCTTTGAAACCACCTCTCTTCAAATGTCTCGTTGGGTCACTAATTCCCTAAGTGTTAACTGAGCGCGACTACGTGCCCTGCACATGTGGGGTTCTGGGGATAGAAGCAGTCCTTCCTCCTTGCCACCCCACCCCCTCGTGGGGGATACCTCACAGCCTGCAAAGTGCTGGTTGACTATTCATTGAGGGGAAGGCTCAAGAGCAGAGATGCTGCCCCATGACCCAGAGGAGAGAGAGGTGAGGGTGAACAGAGCACCTTGGACCAGAGCTGAGATGGAGCCAGGAGGGGTGACTGGCTGGGGTCTGTCCCTGAATGGACTCAGGACAGGCAGACACTCACCAGCCAGGACTGGGAGCCAGGGCACAGAACTGGCTGCCCACCCACTGGAAGAGGAGCTCCCACAGTCTGGGTCATGCCCCTGTCCACTGCTGAGTGCTGGGAAGACAGCTCGGCATAGGAGAGACGCACAATCTAACAGAGAGCAAATGAGTGAGATAGAAGTGGTTCTGGCTTCCTGGAGCTGCTAAGCCTCCCAGAAGCTAAAGCTTTCCCAGGCCATGCAGCTAATCCGTGGCCAGCTGGAGGCAAGGCTGGGCTCTTCCCTTGGGTGGTGTCTGAGCTCCACGTGGTCAAGGGCCTCAGCAGCAAACCATCATCTGTCTCCAGAGACAGTACCAGGTGGTGTGGGGCCCGGCTATTTCTCAGGTATGATAGCAGGACTCACCCTATGCGGTGGTTGATATAACAGCAGGGAATATGTTGCTCTGCAGCGTCCTCCCAACTCAGGAGGCATCAACCTGGGCAGTGAGGTGATGCAGGCGAGCTCCCAGTCCTGTGGGGCTGCCATAGTGCTGGGCGAAACCTGGGCCCTTGTTTCAAAAGCCGGAAGAGCCTTCCCTTCCCTCTGCCATCTCTCTGTGACCCACAGTTTATTATTTATTATCTGCTGTTTAATGTTGGGGGGGCTCACAGAGGGGACACAGACCCTGGTAGACACCTGGGGCCCATCTCTATTAATCAGTGTCCCTCTGTGTTCACCCCATCAGACCCCTCCCGAGGCAAGGGGAAGTGATGGTCACTGGTGGGGGGACAGGGAAGTGGGCAGCCAAGAATTGGTCCTAGAGGAAGGGCTGTTGGGAGACCCCAAATCCCTGCCATGTGCCCCTGTGTCCCAGTGGATGGCACTTTGTTGTTGTTGTTTAGTCGCTAAGTTTTGTCTGACTCTTCAGGACCCTATGGACTGCAGCACTCCAGGCTTCCCCATCCTTCACCATCTTCTAGAGTTTGCCCAAGTTGATGTCCATTGAATCGGTGATGTCACCCAACCATCTCATCCTCTGTTGCCCTCTTCTCTTTCTGCCTTTTATCTTTCCCAGCATTAGGGTTTCTCCAATGAACCAGCTCTTCGCATCAGGTGTCCAAAGGATTGGAGCTTCAGCATCAGTCCTTCCAAAGAGTATTCAGGGTTGATTTCATTTGACTAGTTTGATTTCCTTGCCTTCCACAGGACTCTCAAGAGTTTTCTCCAGCACCACAGCTCGAAAGCATCAATCAGATGGCACTTTAAAAAGCATACATTCAAAGACAGAAGTATTAAGACTGTCAAGATTGTGACCACAGAGCTTTAACCCCCAAGTGCCAGCTCATCTCAGTGTGGGTCAAATGCTTGAGGCCCCAGGACACCACGAGGACTCTCTACTAGAGGTCCACGGAGATCAGGGACCATGGGAGTAGTGTGGCCACAAAACGAGGGAAGGGGCAGCACCTGGAGAAGAAGCCAAGGGCCAGTGTGACAAGACCTAGCAAGACACATCAAGGGCTGTGGGTGGGCTGGGCGCCAGGGGAGGGCAGGCAGCTGGGGCAGGAGTGAGGGGCCAGCCCCGGGGAAGGGACTGGCACTGGGAGGGGTCCTGGGGCAGGGGAGGAGAATCGCGCTGGACAGACAGCCCTCCTGTGTGAGAAAGGACACCCCCAGCCTGCAGCAATTGTCCCGGGACAGAGAAGGCCCTCTGCACAGCTCTCCAGACGTCTCATCACCCCCTTCTGTCTAGCGGCACATTCTGCTAAAATTCTGGGGAGTCCCTCCCCGCCCTCCCTGTGTGTTTGAAGGTGGGCACCTCACCTGGTCCCA